CTGTTCATTCCTCAAGGATCCACTAGGCCCCATGAACACTATGTGCTCTGTGTAGTGTATTTTAGCCTACAAAATCCAGCAGCTGTAGTGGTGAGAAAATCTGTAGTTCTCAAATGTGTTAGGCAGTTTGAGTAGGATGTTTTCTATCTGGCTTTCTTTTGGTTGCCTGTCACTTCTGACATTCAGAGGCCTGCTGGCAGCAAAGTTGCTTTTACTGTTCTCAGGGACAGATGTTTCTAGTCTAGGAAGAAACAGACCAAACTTTTACTTGAAAGTAAAAATTCTTGCCACATTTAGGTACCTAACCCGAGAAAACATAAAGATAATCTTGACCTCAGGCTTGAGGATGTAAAGGTAATCATTGCCAGAAAAGTAATGTTCTGATCTGAAGACTCAAGGTCAGCATTCAGAAAAAAAATTTTTTTGTATAAAATCTTCTCATGTCTTAATTGCCAAAGAACAACATTTTCATGCTAAGAATTATGGGATAGTCACAGAAGCACAGATACATATAGCTTATCTTGGAAAGTGAGCTCTTTGTATTTAACTTTGAGAACTCTTAGAGAGAAACTGGATAACACTGCAGGAGGAGCAAAAGGAAGAGAGATGTAGGAGGGGAGGGAAAGAGGGAGGGTGATGAAGAACAAGAGGGAGACAAAGAGGAAGAGGAAGAAGGAGAGAAAATTTTTTTGCACTTTTGAAATTGGATTGAACAGGTTTATATGTTGACAAAGTTGAGTTGAATACCAGGAGAGTCATAGAAAAGAAACTGAATATACCTGAAAAGGGCAGACACTAAATATAAATGGATTATTGCATGTACTTCATTAATTTGATTCATAGAAAATTATTGTTATAAGTCAAGAATGATCTTATGAGGTCTATTTTTTATAGTGCTCAAAGGTCTCAGTGCTGGCTTTTGCAAGAAGGAGCAATCTTAGTTCAACATGTTTTAGATGAGATGCGAGGGACAAACACAGCTTATAATATTTTAACTAGGGTTTTTCTCAGAGGAATGTGCCTATATTTATATAACATAACCTGTTAAATCTGTACCAATGGCTGCAGATACAGACCACAGAAGCTTCTTTAATAGCATACATACACTATGTCCAAAATGTTCTACTCTGTCATTCATGTGTAAATCAAGCATATTATTCATATACTTCATCGACTTCCTGAATGTGTGGTAAAAATGCCAAGGGAAAACTCATTAATCGTGACATGGTGACTGCTCTGCTAGCTCTGAAATGTTGATGGAAAAGAAAAATTGTCAAAGGGCCTTTTTAAGAACCACTGCAGGTTACACTTGCAAATGGCAATTCAGAGAACATGAAGTTCCTCGTTCAGGAAGGAAGGATTAAAATCAAACACCCTCCAGTGGTTACATCTAAAAACTACATAGTTGTTCCAAACGGCTTCGTATAAAAGAAGTCATCCTGGTGCAAGAATGAGGACCCAAGGTCCACATTCCTGCTCAGTCTGATGGTTGTACAATCTCAAAAATATCAAAATGATTTTCTATTAAGTAAAATATCTCTGACATTCTGATGCTAGCATTTTCTGGGTAAACTAGGGGACTACTTCCTATTATCTCATGAATGTATTATAAGCCATAATAAAAATCTGAAGTTTTGAGCTAGAAAACTTTTATGGTTTATTTAAGCCTTATACCCGTAATCAAGACTGTCAGGCAATGCGACATCTAAACAACTATTTGGCTAAGTTGATATATTGAATTTTTTAATTTGTCAAGTAATCCATATGGCACTACAAGAGGATGCGATTGTCAAGTACATCTTTCTTACGCTTAGGATTTTCTGGTCTCACTCTCATCCGCCATAATATCTGCTTCGTTCCACATTAAGTAAGTTATTATTGAGTCTCAGGTAAAGTCAATCATGAGTTGCAAGTGATTCCCCTTTCTCTTTCTTGTGCGTAATGGGGAAGTGCACATTTCTACATTAGGCGAAAGATCACTGACATCATTTTCAGATAGGAACACTGTCATTTTCCAGTTCCTTGTTGAAATTGGTTGAAAAAGTGTGGCTACTGTGGTGTTGTTAATGGAAGAAGGTCGAACGGTCAGGAACACACTGAGTTCTATTGAAAATGACCTGACATATTACATTGATTCCACTTTAGTAATGACATTACCTTGATAAAATTTAAACAATTATCCCTCAAGATGAATTTTGCTAAATTTCTACATTATACAAAATGTTTTTTGCAAGCACATTGAAATCTAAAGCAATCTAATTAATTAGGTCAAAAAATGAAAGAGTTTTTAAGTTTTCATCAATGATTGAGAAGTATCTTCCAGGTATTCTTTTAGCATTTAATATAT